CACTTCACAATAGTTTGACACAATAATCCAATATTTGTTAGTGGTGTGTGAAAAAGAATGCATCTTTCTTGCAGTTGTTGGATAATTGTTAAACAATTAAGGATCCCGTTAATGATGAACTTAGACTAGGTGTAATAACTTTATTTTGTTTTTCTAATTTTATTCCGAAGGGTACAACAAATATTTTTGGTTCAATTTTCTAGTGATGTAAGTATTTTAATTTTTTTTCAGTGGCCTTTATTAATTTGATATTCAACTATTGATAATAATTATTTTGAGCTTAATATTAAATTACTATTATATTATTTTGAGCATTGATTATTTTACTATTATATTATTTTGTGCTTCATTTTTTTTATGTTATTTTATAAATATTTTTTCATTCATTATCTTGTTATTTTTTCAATCATTATCTTGTAAAGATTTATTAATAGAATAAATGATAATGTAAACATAGTTTATTTTGTTTTTAGTACAAATGAGTTAGTGAAATTTTGATCGGCATTGAAGTTTTACAAATCACAATATATTAAGATCATATAATAAAATAAAAATTAAAAACAATGGACTTGCGTGAATTGATATTTATTAAGTTAAACTATCATATAAATTATTAACTTTTTTGTTTTTCAAAAAATAATATTTTAACTTATAAATGTCAATTTAGGTGCCTAAGTATACCTCAAGTTGGGAATCAAAGTCCACATAATTCTTCTAGTTTACTTACCTTCAGACAAGTGGAAGTCTCTAATAGTTGTACTCGTCTTCGGCCGTCCCGGTAACACTCGTCGTACTCGTAAAATCAGATGCGTCGTCGTCGTTGTCGTCCCCTTCTGCCTCGTCGATGAGCAGAGCCGTTTGCGTCCTTCGTTCCGCCTTCTTCCAATCCATCAACAACATTTGTGCTTGTAGATTTTCGAGCGTTAACCTCGACCGTCGTGCGTCTAGCATGTAACCTCCCTCACTGAATGCTTGTTTGACCGCAACTATAGATGCTGGGACGACAAAAATCTCTTTGGCCATCAAACATGGAATAGGATAAACATTTTGCATTTTTGACCACCAATCCAAGACATCGAAGTTCAGTGGCGAAATTGGTTAACCAATCCTGAGTATCAAATTCGACGTAAGGTAGTGATCCAGGTCATAGTATCCAGTCCCCTTCGTCCTTTCGGGGTCAACATTCTTGTACGGATTTTTGATGCCCACCAATCCTTGTAGTTTGTAGAGCCTACTCGATTCCCTCCGTAATAAGAAGACATGCTGCCACTGTCGCCGCGAACAAATGAGCTGGGATGCTCTCATTGCGCGATCGTTGTTTCCCTGAACATTTCATACAACAAATCTTTTGCTTGCTCGACGAGCAGCTTAACATTAGGTTTTTTACTGTATTCTTCCACCTCAGTCGGCAGTGGGAGTTCAAACATATGATTATAATACAGGTTATGATTATCCATCAATTCAATTTCACGTGCACTAGGATCTATCAAACATGTAACTAAAAATGTATCGGGAATATAAAAATAATATTTTAACCATTTCTTTAATATTTCACTTACTAAATATGTATATTTAAAATAATCAAATTTTTGTAAAGATATGAGAAAGCCCACATGATGGCTATACATTGACTTAATACAAGCTGAGCAGTATGATAATAAACACCCGAAAGCATGGCAGTAGCATTTTGAAATGTTTCTAAAAAAATAATAAGTACCTTACAATTCTCCCAATATGTTATACAAAACGATTAACAGAGAAGACATATATTTTCCTTTACTGATTTTTTTGAGTCGAGGCTGATTTGAAGAAGGAGGAGTAGGAAAGAAATAAGGAGGAGTAGGAACTAAGAAGGAACTAACTAAGGAGGTGTAGGAACTAAGGAGGAACTAACTAAGGAGGAGTAGGAACTAAGGAGGGGAGATTCGGACGTCACAGTCCCTACGGTTTGGATCGTTAAAAAACTTCTCCAATACCGCCATAAAAGGAACTGTGTCATTCAACATTTTATATGTTGAGTTTCATCGGTTTGAAACGTCAGGTTGAAAATTTTAGGTCACAACCCTTCATTCTTACAAAACTATCTCCATGCTTTCATTTCTTGGGGACATTTATGTAAATAATTAACAGCATTCCTAACTGGCGTGACTGAATCTTTAAAAGTATTATAACCAGCTTGTACACATAAATTCAAGACATGACATGTACAACGGATATGAAAAAATTTTCCCCCACAAATAGGTGTGCAAGTATCTGTAAGTTCATGTATAGATGCAGTAGTGGCAGTAGCATTATCAAAAGAAATGGAAAACACTTTTTTACCGATTCTATATTTATCCAATTTTTTTTAAATTAAACGAGTAATGTTAGATGCAGTGTGACGTTCATGAAATGCAACATAAGCAATTAAACATTTTTGTAAACTCCAAGTTTCATCGATCCAATGACAAGTAACTCCCAAATAGTAGTTAGTTTGCCAATGATCGGATCATATATCAGCACAAATAGATACTCTATGGTTTAAAGATTTAAAAGTTTCTAGCAATTTTTTTTTCACTAACTACTTTTCGAATATCGCGAGTAAGAGTAGTACGTGGAACACGGATGGCAGCTGGATATTTGAGCAAAATGTTCATATAAATCACTATCACCCAAATTAAATGGAAGAGATGAAGCAGAAACAAATTCAACCAAATGACGTTTATGATTTTCATTCGAGTAATGAAAAAAAGGTGGCGTACCTATACCATTCGTGGCGGATGCAGAGCTGCTACTGGGGAATTCTTATGTGTCGTGTCATTCCCAACGTATGCGGATGACAACTATTTAGGTGTTGGTTCAAGGATCCGTACCCATCGCCTTTTTTGAAATGATACTGCTTCTTGGAACTGGACGGACAATTTGCAAACTGCAAAAAAGTGATCCGAACCTTTTTCTTGATTTGAAATCTTCTTGTAATGTCGTTGGAAGATGGCGGACCCCGCTTTACCACCCCCACCCGGACCACGACTGAAGACAGAGGATGAGTCGTGCATGTCTGGCTGCGTCTCTTGCTCGGTCTCCTCTGGGCTCGTTTTAAATAGATCATCCAAATGATCGTGATAAGGTTGTTGCATGGGCTCTTGTTGTTCGGGCTGAACTGAGACAACCATGGCATCTATCGTTGCATCATCAATATCATTGTGGACAACAGGAACATCCACATATATCGATGGACTCACAAAATCCAGAAGTGGAATAAGAAGACGTGCCGACATTTCTCCGTTTATTTTCGGAAGTCGAAGCACGACCACCACAACGAGAAGTTGACATTTTTAATATAAAAGAAGAGAAATTAGAGAGAGTAGAGAGATTAGAGAGAATAGAGATTGGTGTGGAAATGAGGGGGGTATTTATAGGAAATTTTTTAGGTTTTTTCTTTTTTTTAGAAACCGAACTTTCGGTTTTTTTAATATTTTTTAATTTTGGGACCCGCCGGGTCGGGCGGGCTGGGCTACAATGGGCCATTGGATTTCAACGGCTAGACCGATCCAACGGCCAATTTTTTTTTCTTGGGACCGACCCGACCCGTGGTCGGAGGGCCCAATGACTTTTTTGTCAGATGCCAGTTTTTTATCAGACGGACGGGTCGGGTCAGGCCTACCCAAACTGTCCTGTCCAATAATTTAAAATAAAATTAATAATGAAAAAAATTACCACCGGGTGCGAGACCGGCAGCGGGCCCACAAACCGGTCCCGGCCCGTCCCGACCGCCGGTACAAAAA